CTGGCCGAGGGCCCACCCCGCCGAGGCCGCCCGGGTTCCTTCCATCCTTTCCCTCATTTCCTCTGTGAGAGCAGGAATGTCCCTGACCTCCCTCTCCCTCGCCCGCCTGTGTCCAGGCCTCTGTCTGACACTGATTGAGGATTAAGCCCGTTAGCAGCCCCGGGCCATTTTATCATAAACGCTGGGGTCAGCCCTCTGCTTTAAATTTGTCCAAGTCCTTTCACAGCCTCCATTTCTCTCTCCTCACGGCTACGCTGTAAAATCAACAGGTAGGGACCTTTATTCCCATTTTACCGTCAAGGAAACTGAGGCCCAGAGACATTAAGAGACAGCGGAGCCCTAGCTGGTGTGGCTCAGTGGATAGAGTGTCCGCCTGCAGACCGAAGAGTCCCGGGTTCGATTCCAGTTAAGGGCACAGGCCCGGGTTGTGGCTCAGTCCCCAGTGTGGGGTGTGCAGGAGGCAGCCAATCAATGATTCACTCTCATCATTGATGTTTCTATCTTACTCTCCCTCTCCTTTCCTCTCTGAAATCAATGGGGAAAAAAAAGCCGTTCTTTCGCGTGTGTTTGCCGAGCACTGATGTGCCAGGCCCTGCTCCGGGCACTGCGGGGACACAGCGAACACAGAGAGGCAGGCGGCCCACAGATCCATGTACATGGGGCCAGGGGGAGAGCCGCTCTGACGAGGCCGAGGGCCGGGCACGAGGTCCGATGCTGTGCCAGGTGGCTCCTCAGGGGCGGCGTCCCCAGGAAGGCTCCCGGGCCTGAAGCGGAGGCTGCGGCCTTGCAGTCCTCAGGGGAGGAAACCCGGGTGCAGGGAGCGGCCATGTGAGGCCCGGGGGCTGGAACAGGCTTAGCAGGTTCTCCTGCTGGCAAGGATGAGGCAGTATTCCCTTTCCTCCAGGAGCTCACAGGGAAACAGTAAATGAATCACAAAGGCTGAGGCCTTCATGGAAATAGGCTAAGGAAATGCCGCTGGGATGCAAAGTAAAGAGCCTCC